CCTGTTTATGTGTTGTATCAAAAACACCAAACTTCACATAGTTTCATTGATAGCCATACGTGTTCATCTGCTTCTGAAACTTCATTTTTCTGTAGCTTTATCCTGTTAAAGAGACTCCATCCTTTTACCTCCTGGAAGACCGGAGGCAAACCACATGATGCTTTTATTAAGAACAAGCCTCTTCATCTAATAAGAGCTCCAGTATCAAATTGGAGAAGTGCTGTCAACATCTTGAACAATCAATGCCATCCATCCCCCACTCCACAAGCAACAGCCATTAACCCTTCCTGTTCCAGCATGCCTTGGCTCACTAAAATGGTGGCTTTACTTTAGACATCTTTCTATAATGGCTGCGTAGAATGACCCTCCGGCTATGCATCAACATTCATGCAGGAGTGTGTCGTAAGGTTTGTCTGATACCAGGTTATGCAAAGAATGTCAGGTTTCCACAGATGAAAGGTTGCCCTTTTCAAAACCTGTGCACACAAACTTGAGCATTTCGGTCTGAGGTTCGACTCACAACAAAAAGTGGCTAAGGCAGCGTGACACCATCGTTGTTGTAAAATGGTCATATAATATATTTTTTTGAGAATGACAAAAACAGAAAAAGAAGTTTGGAAGTCCAGAATTGAATATTTAAAAATATAGAAAAAAAATACACTTTCCATAGAATTGGCTCTCAGCTGTAAAAAAAAAGCTCAGTTTTTTATATAAATTGTTTAATGAAAATGTCCTGACTTTGAGCAAACCTCCACTGAGGACAGATTGGACTTTGTATTTACCGCTGCACACAAAAACCCATGTGATATGTTTATGGGTTATATACAGTGTGTATGTCATGGTGTTGCTTCCCATGTAGTTAGAAAAGGACAAACCTGATCTTTATAGGTTAGACTTGAAAGTCAGTCTCCTAAAACTGAAATGTCATTAGACCAGCAGTCCCCTGGTTACTGAAGCTGCACGAACAGCATGAAAAGAACCAGCAAGAAATGCTCTATAACAGGCTTGTTGACTGTAATGTTCCCTCCTAGCTGCACGCACACAAATGCCCTAAATCAAAGTAAAACAGATGTGCTTGAATATTATTTTCCTTGCCAAAATCGTAGTGTTTAAAAATACACTCATCGAGTCGTCTGAGTAGTATTTTTAAACACTAAAATTTTGGTAAGGGAAATTACATTGAAGTACATGTCTTTTACTTTGTAGGATGATCATAGAAACTTGACCTGCAGAAACAGAAGCACTCGATGAACATGTTGAGATTAAAAGCCACATCAGTCACTTTATATGGTTTAATTATGTGGTAGACCAAGCCTTGTAGGACCATCACGAATGTAAGAAGGGTGTGGGAATTTCTATTTCTAAAAGAAGAAGTAATTTGTGGGTGGAGTGCTGGATGTGATGAAGGAACTGAGGTGATGATCATAAGGAGTGGTCCTGAAACATCAGAATCCACTGTAACTTGACAAAAACAACATAGTGTTAACATTCCTCAGCTGACCAAGGTCCCTTCTCAGGAGCCAACATGTCTATTCATGATAAACAGCCAACATGTTACTGTTCTAAAAAAAAAAAGAACAGTGTGGGATGAAGAAAAGGGGATTTTAAATGCGGTTTGACTTTTTAATGTAATGTTAATATATGAATAAAGGGGATTTTAAATGCAGTTTGACTTTTTAATGTAATGTTAATATATGTTAGAATTTTCCGTTTTGTCTGTTTTTTATTATTTTACAGTTGTAAAGGATCGATTCAAAGTCGTGTCATCACCAAGCCTTGACAACAGATTTTGGCCAAATCTGACGTAGATTGATAGTTGTATTAATCTGACATCATGACCCTTGACCCCAGTCTTTATATGGCCTTATTTGAATTTTGGGTCATCTATTAGAAACTGTAGGAACAACAGGAAGCTTCAGTCTGGCTCTCACTGGACACTGTGCTGTCACGTTAGACCTTTGTTCTTTGTTGATGTCAAGAACACCTTGACCCCTGGGCTTCCATAATACGGAGTGACCCTCAGGGTGTGTGTGTGTGTGTCTGTGTGTGTGTGTGTGTGTGTATCACACAGGTTGTGTTCCCCTAACAAATCCAAGGCCGCAGCCTCTCCACCTCCAGCTCGTCCTTTTGAAGTTACATTAGATTCTAGTGAGCAGCTGGTTAGTGCAGCAGGTTAACAGTCATCTGCTTTAAATAATGACACCGGCTTCAGAGATAACTAGTCATTTATTACATATAATCAGTGTGTGTGCACACAGGTCATCTAATCACTAAAATAGTCGTGTGTATGTGAGAGTGTAGTCCAAATTCTAACGAGTGATACGGTGAACCCCAACGTTTCTTGTGCCATACAACAATTGCATGAAAGGTTTTTTTTTGCAAATTCAAATTGAAAGTGAGATTGGTCAGGATCAGTGAACATTATGAAATATTTGATACGACTGATTATGAAAGTGAGATTGATCAAAATCAGTGAATATTATGAAATATTTGATACGACTGATTAAAAACAAAAAAAAAAAAATCAACCTAATTCTGTGCTGAATCTTTGGCTTTTGGGTCTTGTTTTCTTCAATAGGAGACAGTGACAAACAAAGTGCATTTCTCATGTGGGTGATGTGTGAGTGTGATGTCCAGAACAGAGCTGCTCCACTCACAGTGGGAAAGAGGTAGTCAGGAAGAGTCTTTAGGGACAGAGTTAATAATTACCGTGAATCTGTGTGTTTTCTGTTAAGAATGTTATAGATATAGGAGAAACAGTAACTTTGTAATAAAACCCAACGGCCCAGTTTCTGCTCGGGCCAATTATTAAGACTGAGGCAGAGAACAGTGAACAGTGAGGACCCTGCACCCCTTACTGACCACTACTCCAGGTCCGTTCAACCACCCATTTCTCTGCAACACGACCGCATTAAAAAGTCAAGCAGGTAACATCTGAGTGTCCAATCATAAATTACCTCCAGAGTCCAAGAGACAAGAAATACTTCTCTGTATTCAGAGCTCATCAATGAAAGCAGGCAGGACTGCACATCTGAAGACTTCCTGCAAGTCCAATATTTGAGTTAAGAGACATTGCACATATATGGGAAATCCTTTATGAATTTCCCCAGCCTACAAACCCAGGCAGCCCCCCCCCCCCCCCTTATTTGTTATTATTGAAATAAAAAAATCCAACTGTGATGCACGGGGCACAACAGATGGATATGTAAGTTAAATATACTCTGTTTGCCAACCTCAGGAGGTACTTACTTTTTTCAAACAGTATCACAGAATGATTAAAATCATCCTGCTACACTGATGATTTGGTGTAGCAGGAGTTCTGACCTCTGCTCACTGACGGGGAACACCAGCCGCTTACGACAGGCGCTGAATGCAAAGTTGTTTTTTTTTCACACAACAGCAGCAGACATTTGAGATTATATATGACTTGGAACTGATTTATCTTCTGCTATAATCATTTATAATGGTTAAAGGTTAACAGAGCTGGTCAAATTGTGTGCAAAGGTCCACATGGCCTCGATGTGTACCATATACAGTATATTTACCTTTACGTGATGTCCCGTTGTAATCTGGGCCACACACTATAGATCACGCATGTTCACGACAGCTATTGTTGATAAGAAATGGAAACGTTTTTAACACAAGATAATAAAAAAAAAGAAGAAATGATTCTCTTTCTGCATACAGACTCTGAACTTTTAGTTACGTTGATCAAATATCTTTAATGCAAATGGAACTGTTTTTAAAAAATGAAACTAACATTTTGAAGCACATGGTGTAATAAAAATAATCTTGCCGTGCTTTTTTTTTTTTTTTGTTACTGTTAGATGTGTGACAGTGAGTATTTGGGGAATATGGATATTGACAACTGTTACACATACAGCAATGGAGAAGGTGAAAATGACTTGTTCTCAGGGGCCTTGACAACCTTTGCCCCTTGGCTCTCATTTCAGCCCATGTAATTGCCACTGACCAATGGGCTCCTGGTTGAAACCAGACCCGGGCTGCAGCCATTAACGTCTCCCGCCAAACGGATTTTGTTTTGATTCCTGATGCTTTTATAGGTTTTGTCTTTTAAGAGACATGCCTTGCACCCATTTCTGCCCCTATTTTCCTTCCTTCCCGTCTTGTGGGGCAATTGCCCCCACCCTTAGCACACTCAAAAACACACACAAGGTCAACCTATCAACGTATACTTGTGTGTGTGTGTGTGTGTGTGTGTGAGTGTAAGAACACACTCGGGCTACTGACCAACCTTCCCTCCTCCGGCCCCTCATGACAGCCAGCTACACTCCATGAACTTGGCCACCCATCACAGCTGCGTTAAGATTGAAGGATGGGGGGCCCTTGTATCCAGCTGGGTCGGAAGACATGGATGGGGGCAGGGTAGGCCCAGATGCAGATGGTTTAGGTCAAATGGAGATGTTTGAGAATGAAGGGGGAGGGGGAACAGGAGCTCTGGGGCACCATAACTCCAGAGGTTACTGCTCTAACCTCTGGAAAAATACATTCTTGGGAGTTTTGAGTGTATATATTAGTGTTTATGTTTTTGTGTTGTGTGTTGGCTTGGCTAACATTAGTTTACCAGAGGACACCCAGTGTTTATATCTGAACATTAGCCTTCTGACCTGCACTCACCTTTAACCTGACAAAATCCAATCCACAGTCATTCTCACAGTTTGATAAAAACACAAACTCACACTAACACAATTAAAATGGCACAAATTGCAACCTACGTGTATATTTGTATAAGGGCATGATTTTTTTTTCCTTTTTTTTTTTCTATTTTAGAAGAAGTCTCTTGAATTCTACTGTATTGAGAATAGGCTTAATGGATAAATCATATCTTTAAATATGTTAATTTTCCTTCTCTTGTTTTTTTTACATTCTCTCTTATAAAAAAATAACAAAGAACAGAATTTACTGACTGATAACTCTGATAACTGATAAATGTTGGTAACTATTTTCTATATTTAATCTGTGTTTTGTGTCTTTTGTAGAATGGGAATGCAGGCTGGGCCGATGAGGCTGACAGTAGCAGAGGAAGAGGAGAGGCCTCCAGAGACTTTGCAAAGGTGAGCAAAACAAAAATAATCTGTATAAATACAGTATTATTGTTACCAAAATAACAACTATTTAAAATGAATGCCAGTGTATGGTGTTTGGTTTTTTTTTTTCATTGAATTTTTTCTTTGTCTTTTTTAAGTTGTACGAACTGGACAATGACCCAAAAAGAAAGGAGTTCCTGGATGACCTATTCACCTTCATGCAGAAAAGAGGTAGGAGTGCTCTTAAGACATTCACATTATGATGAGCAGCAGCTGTCTTTTCACTCTGTTTTGCCCTCATTTGTTTTGTTTTTTTTTTTTATGTAGAGGCTTTCTTCTGTTTCATAGTTGGATTTCCAGCTGTTTTACAAAGACTAAAGATTAGTGTTTTGGGATTCAGAAGAGTTTCCTTGAGGTACAATCTCATGTTTAGGGTTTGGTGGAAATGTTTTTGTGAACCAGTCCATGATTAAAACATCCGGTAATCGGTTACACATCTGTAGGAGATGTTAACATGTTGACATCACATTATATAAACTGGTCACTTTAGACCTGCATTACAACATAGTTTGCAAAATTTTAAGATATTAAATGGAAATCTCACAGTCTCAGACAATAGATCTATGAATATAGAGTGTTTCTGGTTTGTGGTAAACCGTGCCGTACGTCTCGCTGGCTTAGAAATCCTTAACACATCTCATCCTAAGAGTAAAGGCCTTCAGAGTTGAGCAGGTGAGATGTTCCTCTGCTGATCCTCTGGGTTTGCAGTAACAGATCCGACAGGATCTGTCGTTGATCTAACATTGTGGACCGACAGCTGCGGAGGCTCGGCTGACCTCACGTTGCTTTGACACCGCTTACAACACTTCCCTTGATCAGGGCTGATAATGCTCTCGGGCTTTCATCCAACATGTTTGTTGCCAAGCAATTGACATGGTTTGAGCTCATCCTTTTAGTGCGACTCGTCATGTTGTTACAGTCGTGCATGATGACGGTCACTCTGTGTGTGTGTGTGTGTGTGTGTGTGTGTGATTTATGCTGCAGTGTTATGTTTTGCCACCAGCTATGATGAGTGATCGTATCCTGTGAGCTTTTACATGTGTGTGGTTAATACTTCATTATGTTTGGTCACACACTATGATGGGTTGTGTAGTGTGTATGTGATGCGTGCTTTGTTTTGTCAGGGTATGAGTGATGACGATGGTGTAGGGTGAGCCTGTGTGTGTGTGTGTTGTCATATTCATAAACGCAGCAGCAACAACAGCTTCTGACTGTTTGCTGCGACTGTAGCACCGTGAGGTCTTGTTTGCTGGGTGATGAATAGAGCAGAGTCAAAGGGAGGGAGGGACAGAATCTGTCAGGACCCTGTTAGCATCTCTGTCCAGTGGCAGACACTGGGAGTAGCTGCCTGACCCTTTACTCACGCTGGTCAGACGGAAAGATCCATCAAGCTTTCTAAAACACGACTTGACAACAGATAAATGGCTGATAACCGGTGACCGCCAGGAAAAACGTCATGAAACCACCGTTACATTACGAAACCAAACTGAAATTATTTTCAGCTCATTAATATTTTAATAAAACACAGAAGATAAAATTATACATGGAGCAAAAAAAGGTTTAATTTCATTTTTTAAATACGTTTGTGTGTTTAAACTGTTGTGATTTTTTTTTTTTTAATTGTTTGGTTAAATTGCCGTGATAATGAGTGACTGCAACTGGAAGCGTGTTTTGTGGACGGTGGACAGATCGAGTTCCTGTATTGTCATTAGTACAAGTGACTGGTAGTCAGGAAGTGCAGGGGTCAGGGCTCCACAGCAGATGTAACAAGTCTAACGGTGTCTCTGGAGTGTTCATGTGTAACTACACCACGTTAAGGCAAAGAGAAAGGAAACGTTAGCAGTGGTCAACACTTGGTCGTTTGTTTCCAAGAACAACAAAAATATAGAGGTGAATAAAAAGGTTTAAATTAAATATTAAAAAAAAACTTGACACACTGTAAACTATGCATACGAGTCATGTAACTTAACCACAACTGTAACACACTGTAAACTATGCATACGAAGTGTTTCCTGAGTCATGTAACTTAACCACATCACCCTCTTTATTTATTTATTTTATTTTTACTTAATTCCAACAGTAACACACATGCTAACAGATGACAAACTGATTTCCTAATTTTCTCCGGCACCGCGCAGTTAAGAATTTAAAACCAATGTCAATTTTTTTTTAGAAAATACTGTGTCCATGGTAAACTATTGTCTTCACTGACGTTACAAAATATTTTTTTTTAGAAAATACTATTGTCTTCACTGACGTTACAAAATGCCAATCTCTTATCTGTGGCTTTCGACCAAGTCACTGCATGTAGAGTTCAGGGGAAATCCAGTGAAACCCGTGGACAGAGAGACAAACTGTGCAGAGCCTTTTCCCACCTCCTCGCGGGGCCTCCAGGCCTTGAAAGGAAGGCAACAGAGGAAGGAAAACGTACATGGGATTCCCATTTCCTGCCTGTGTGCTTCAAAACAGTTGTCTGTGTGTGTGTGTGTGTGTATTTATGTGTGTGTGTGTGTGTGTGTGTGTTAATATCATAGGAATTTTAGCAGCTGTCCTAAATCCTTTCTTTGTGTATGGGGCCCATTGATGGGCTGTAAGAGAAATGGCAGATACACACGACAAACGACCTCGTCTGTGTTTCTCTGACGCTCAACAAATATTTTCAATAGTTGATATATATATATCATCCTGTACAAGTTACCTTCATACCATTTGTTTTAGGCAGGTTTTCGTTGAGCCTTAGTTTGAGATTTGCTGCAAAAAAAAAAAAAAAAATCCACTGGTTTTAGCAGACGTGTAAATTTCCTCAGGCTGTTGATTTTAGGAATAGCACGGGTGGAGAAGTTCAGCCTCTGTGTGCTACACTGATATTACAGTTAATCATATCCCTTACATGTTCTGCTGTTTCATTAGCCCCCCCCTCCCCCCCCGGAGCACAAAGAAAAGGCTTTGATGGTGGCTCGACACCATTAACCACCACAAAGATTGTAATTAAGCAGATGGGCGATTGTTTGTTTTAGTTTGACACCCAGCCACTTTCACATCTGTGATGTGGGGTTTGTGGAGCAGGAGGTTGTGAAAAGGTAATGGGGGAAGGAGGGAGCTGCGACTGAGGCCACGGGACCTAAGGGTGTGAGCTTCTATAAAGACAGAAAAAAAAGGTCGAAAATAAGAGTGATGCAGCCAACTGCCTGTCACCTCTGTCCACTTGAGATGATGAATGGCCACAGGCTGTGATGGACAGCGGCAGAGAGAGAGAGAGAGAGGGAGAGAGACAGAGAGAGATCTGTTAGCCTCTTGGGTCACCGGTAGAGAAAACTGCGAGTAACACGAGGTAATGACAAGTGGTCTGTCTCCTGCGCTCGTGCCTCACACGTTGCAGTTTTGCACAGACCAGATCCAACTCAGTGTGACACGGAATACTTTAAGTGTAGATTCATCTTAGGAGGGCGCCCCCACCCCTGATGTGATGGAACTGTTTGAAAGTTGATATAGTAATAAAATCCATATACAAAATTAGATTAGAGTCTTTTATTAGTCATAAAAACATAATCTTGTTAGACTAGGGGAAAAAAGGGGGGAGTGCGGGGGAGGGGGTTGGAAATAATGATGTTAAATTATAATATCGTCCTCAGAATTACATTTTATTAATGTGGCGTAAGCAGCGTGACGTGCAGTGAAATGTCTTGGTCTGTTTCTATCGGCGTTAGAGTGTAATTTCTTGTCGTATTTGTCACAGCAGGACGTTGGAGGAAGTTCACTAACTGTAACTCTTAGACTGAGCTCTCTGTCCACACCAATTACAGCGTGAATGGGCTCTTGGGGATCCATGTATGCATTATATTACTCCCATGATCACACCTCCGACCCTGGTAACAGACAGGCCCCTCTACACAAACACTGCACCACAATGAGAACATTCTCTCAGTCTTTGATACGGGCGTCTTAACTCCCTTTAGATAACACCTCTCAATTTCTGGAAAAAAAAAAAAATCTGTTAGCCTCTTGTAGTTACAACTACAAAAACATTGAGTAGTTTTAGTGAGAATCATCAGAGGTTCATATCCATACGGCCTTTCAACATTCCTGTTGGTCTGACTGTCACATGAAGGTATTTGTGTCAAAAAAATCAAAAACGAGTTGTTCTTGTTCGTGTGAGTGAAGTAAGTTGTATTTTTTTATTTAGTATTTCTCATTGATTTCTCGTCCTGCCCCCACGCCACTCTCCACCCACTCTGTTTATTGTGCTACAGTTACAACCACTGAAACATGATAACACCGTGGGGGATAGGGGCTGAGGTCTGTGCTTTGGCCTGTTTGGTGTGGCCAGGAGGAGGAGGAGGGGTGGATTAAGGGGCCTCCCGTCCGACATGGGATGATTAATGATCTCCAAATAAGTGGGGCCGACCTTTTTGATAGGCCAGCGCTGAGGGATGTCAGACGAGGGAGTGACAGTCGTGTGTCTCAATGTGCCAACAGGGAGAAAGGAGAGACTGAGGGATAAAAAAGGGCAGGCGTGGCAGCCACAGTAGGAGACAGGGGCCAAACAAAGTGCCAGGCCGACTGAAGTTAGACTCAGGTCGGTGAGAGGAAGCTGCTTTTGTTCAAACAAGGCTTTGCTTTTTTTTTAACACCTCCTTGCTGGTGGAACATAGATGACCAAGTTCTTTAACAAGACAAAAAGACTATCAAGTAGAAATGGAAGCGAGGACTCCCCCCCCCCCCCCCCCACCCTCCACTCTCAGGAAAGGGTGGGAGCCCAAATGATACAGACTCTTAGAAGCCACTACTTTCTAATTATTGCCCTGAAGCAGACTTGTGGTCAACATTGTACAACTCCTCCCCTACATATATGATCAAAGTTTTAAGTGTTTACCATCTTGATTTGTCAGAGGGCTACGATTATCCTCACCACCGGTAAACTCCACCCATGGACGGTCACGTGCCGCCCAGAGTTTGTGGTTCGATTTTTTTTTTCTTTTTCCTTCTCTCCAACCACAAAGTTGGTTCCACTTCCGCTCTAGTTCTTCCATAATTTACCATGATGGTTGTACAGTCCAGGGCGGCGACTGTCCTTCTGTAATTACGACCATACTGCGCAGGGATTTAAATCCCTAAGCTGCAGAGCTGAGAGATTCTTAATCACCATGGTCATACGTAACTGAGCAGGGATG